AAAGAAGGAGAGAAGAAAGGAATTCCCAGGGCAACGTGTTTTGATCTTCTGACAGGATGGGATCTGTCAAGGCCTGAACACGTCAAGAAGATGTGGCAAACGCTGAAGAAAGAAAGACCGAAGCTTCTGGTCATATGTCCGCCATGCACGGCGTTCACTCCAGTGCAAGAGTTGAACTTTCCGAACATGTCATGGGGAACTGCTGTCAGAATCATCGCCACAGGACTGGAACACTTGGAGCTTGCGGCGAAAGTGGCACTATGGCAGCATCGTCAAGGAGGATATTTTGTACTGGAGCAGCCAAAAGAAGCCAAATCATGGAAAGAAGAGTGTCTGAAGAAGCTGGAGGAAATTCCTGGAATTTGGACTGAGGACTTCGACCAGTGCATGTACGGATTACAAGTGGACCAGCTGGGATTGAACAAGAAGCCCACGAAGGTTCTGGTGAATTCCGATCAAATTGCGAAGCAACTGAGGAGGAAATGCGACAAGAAGCACTTCCACGCCCCCACCATGAACGGAAGACCAAAGCTGGCACAAGTATACCCGAAGAAGATGTGCGAAGCCATCATCAAGGGGTTCATCAAACAGATGCAAGACGATGGAGAACCCTCACATTGGGCTGCAGAAGAAGGAGAAGAGGAGGAGGAAGACGAAGAAGAGCCCCTCAGAATGGAACGAGAAACTGCACAAATGCAAGGAGAAGGAGAAGGCTCAAGAAGCATTAATGATGAAGATCGAAGGATGGTAGATAAGCTCCATCGAGGACTCGGGCATCCAGCATCGTATGACTTCATCAGGTTCATGAAAGCGGCCAGGATTCGACCAGAGGTCATACAATGGACGCACAAACAATACAAATGTTCAGCGTGCGAAGCAAGGCCAAAGCCCAAGACAGTCAGAAGGGCAGCGCTTCCAAGGACATACCAGCCCAATCAAGTGTTGGGTCTGGACCTGATATACCTTCCAGACGTGGGAGGAAAGAAACAGTTCCCAGCACTTTCCATTGTGGACTGGGGAAGCAACTACCAGATGATCGAGCGGGTGGAGAACAAACAGCCAGAAACTATTTGGGAAGCATTCTGGTCATCCTGGGCAAGAACATTCGGACTCCCGGAGGTCATGATAGTGGATGGAGGCAAAGAATTCTCGCAAAGATTTTGTCAGTTTGCCACTGCACACGGAGTGGTGGTGCAAGCCACGGCGACTAAAGCGCCCTGGCAAAACGGGAAAACAGAAAGACATGGAGCGCACTACAAGGAGCTGCTGCAGAAAAGCAAGGAAGAGACCGTCGTGACAACCGAACAAGAATTGAAGCTACTCATGCAGGAGGTTGAGATGGTCAAGAATCGATATAGCAATCGCTCCGGATTCTCTCCAATACAGAGGCAGATTGGACAGTGGCCCAAAGTTCCGAGTACACTCATCTCGGATGACCTGGTGGAGCCCGGCCTCATGGATGGCGCCATTGTGGATGACATCGAACGGACACAAGAGATGAGGAGGATGGCGCAAAAGGCTTTCATTGAACGCAATGCCAAGGAAGCGATGAAGAGAATTATGAACTCCCGGGGCAAGTCAACACAAGAGTTCAAGCCTGGCGAGTACGTCTATGTGTACAGAATGCCAAGGATCAAGAAAAGGAAACATGACATGCATCCCGAGCAGGTGGAGAAGGTGTTGCAAAAGAACACATGGATCGGACCGGGAACGGTCCTAGTGGTGGACGGCTCTAGTCTATGGATCTCTATGTTTGGGGAACTATGGAGAGCTGCAAGAGAACAATGCAGACCAGCCACCAACATTGAGAAGGCAGGAGTGGAGGAAGCCATGCAAGATTGCAAGGCTCTCATAGAGGAATACAAAAGATCCTCAAATCGAAAGGGCTACAAGGACATTAGAGAAGAAGAATGGCCCAAAGAGGAAGATGAGGAAGACGCGAAGAGGAAACTAGAGGAAGAAGACGAGCCACAAAAGAGAAGAAGGATCGAAGAAGAATCGAAGAAGAAGAAGAAGAAGAAGAAGAAGAAGAAGAAATGCAGGATGAAGGGACGGCAGGCAGGCAAGACAGAGAAGGCGAAGAAGAAGCCGGACAAGGAACCTCGGAATATGCACCGACAGATCACGCTCCAAGTATGGAAGATGAAGAAGAAAGAAGAATAACAAGGCGCCGAAGCAGTGAAGAAGAACCAGAAGCAGAAGAAGAAGAACGGAAAGAGGACACCACCCGTGGAACGGAAGCAATTCGTTCCAGGGTAGACGATCCACAAGAATTTCAAAGAAGATATGACGAGTCAGTGGCAATGTCACGAAGAGTGGACGGACTCCCAGAAACCGGACCACTAAAGATCAGAAGAACAGGAAGGGAAACTTCGGCGCCATACCACCTGGAGTTCATGATGACGGCCGATAAGGAAGAAGAAGAAGAAGACCCAGAAGAACAAGAACAGGAAAAGGACCTGTACAGAAAGCAGGCAATAAGGAACATGATGAAAGAGAGCCCAAAAAGGGACTATTGGGAGCTGGACGAGAGGGCCAGAACGCTGACGCGACACCATGTGCAAAAGAGGAAGACGAAATTCAATCCGGCGAAGTCCAACCGGCTTCCCATCTTGATCAACAAGGTCGGAAAGGAGAGACACACCTTTTTGATGAAAGAAGGAAGAGAAGAAGAAAAGGATGAATGGGTGGCAGAAGGTTCGAAGAAGACACCGACGCCACGATGGTGGAAAGGCAAAACGGTCTTCTACATACGAGAAGCACAGTCAAAGAAAGATGAAAGAAAAATGGAAATATGGGCCACCGAGAAAGAAGAGGTGAGGTTGAATGAAGAAGATGAGGATTCGAGGCAGAAATGGAAGGTGTCAGATGCTTCAGAATGGCAGAAAATATGCGACAGTGGAGCAGTGAAGTTGCTGACAGTGGAGGAATCTAGACAGGTCAAAGAAAGACTCCGACAGGAAGGAAAGCTGAATAGGATCCTTCCAAGCAGGACGCTCAGAAAGTACAAGCTGAGCGACTTGCCAGGAGAACCTCCTACCCGGAAGAGCCGACTATGCATTCGAGGAGATCAAGATCCAGATGCCCTGGAACTTGAGAGGTTCAGTCCAACGGTAAACACGATGAACCTCAACGTCATGTTGCAGCTGGCTGTGAATTTGAAGATGGAGATTGAGGTCGGAGACTGCAAGAACGCATTTTGCCAATCGCAGCCTCTGCAGAGAAAGAATGGGCCTCTATACTTCAAGCAACCCCGAGAAGGCATTGACGGGATGCATGAAGAGCAGATCGTGCAGATCATAGCAGGATGCTACGGATTGGTCGACGCACCGCTGCATTGGAGGAGGTCACTGGTCCAGACCCTGAAGAAACTGGGCTACCAAGAAAGCAGACTTGACCCGTGCATCTACAAGCTGTACGACCAAGGAAGACTGACGGGCATCCTGGCCATAGAAGTGGATGATATCCTTTCGTGTGGAAAGGGAGAGCACCTGAAGAAGATGGAAGAACTAAGGAGCGCCTACTGTTTTGGAAAGTGGGTAAACCTCAAGGAGGAGAAAGATGGAACGGCCTTCAATGGAAGAAGATTGAAGCGAGAGAAAGATGGAACCCTGCACATCGACATGCGCAAGTTCGTCTCAGAAAGGCTGCAGGAAGTGAAGTTGGAGAAAGGAAGGAAGAGCCAAAGAAAAGACGAGGCCACCGAACAAGAAAGAGGACAGGCAAGAGCCACGTGCGGTTCACTAAACTGGCTATCCAAAGAGGGCAGGCCAGACGCAGCAGGACCTTCGAGCATTATGTCTTCACGACTAACACGGCTCACTGTGGAAGACATCGTGGACCTGAATGAAGTGGTGAAGAAGCTGAAAGAAACGCCAGAGATGGCGATCAAAATACAGCCACTGACAAACATGCAGTTGGCTGTGGTGACGGATGCTTCGTTCGGAAACAACGGACACCACTCACAAGGAGGCCAGATGATTGTGGCCCATGAACCAGGTCTCAAAGAAGGAAGAAAGGTGAAAGCAAACCTGGTGTGGTGGCGCAGCGCCCGACTACAAAGAGTAGTCAACTCAACGCTTGCGGCAGAAACCCAATCTCTGTCCAAGGGACTGGGAGATTTACTATGGATGAAAGTCCTTCTGAGGGAACTGCAAGAAGAGAAGTTCAACATCCGCGAGTGGCCGGCAGACATGAAACACGAAGAGATCACCGCCATCGCTTCAGATCAGACCAGTCATTCACTCCAAGAATGTCTGGCAATAGTGGACGCAGCAAAGAGCCTCTATGACTACCTCGCCAAAGAGACGGTGGGCGGCCAAGACAAAAGGACCACAATTGAGGTCCAGATCATCCGAGAAGAAATGAAACAGCTGAACGGCAGCCTGAGGTGGGTAGATCATCCGGCTATGATAGCCGATACCTTGACAAAAGTCAAGGGTGCAACCAAAGCGCTTTTTGAGATGCTGAGGTCCGGTGAATTTTGCATCACCGCAGAAGCCGATCATCTCGCGCAGCGACGAGAGTGTCGCGACAAGGGCATTTCAAGCAGCGAACTACGGAGGGGATTGAAGGTCAAAGAAATTTTGGGGAGCTGTGGAAATGAGTGTTTGGAGTCATGTGCCGATTGACCTTCAACGACCCCGCTCATTCCGGTTCGAACTGCAAGGGGCCCTGAACGCTCGAACGTGTGCACCCGTCCGCTTTGATGGAAATAGGAGCTGCCGTTGCTTGTCGCTGAGTGCCCACAGATATATATATATATATATTTATGTATATGCGCATTGTAGTTCATTCATGCCCGTGCCATGTGAGCCCAAAATTTGATGACGGGCAAAGCGATTGGGGGTGTGCAGGTCGCAGGTGCGCGATTGGGGCAGGTTTCTTTTAAGGAGTCGAAGTGTAGCGAAGTTGTATACTGCGCGGCTCCGTGCAAACGCGACTGGTCACAACTGTGCGCGCGGGTGCGTGGAGCGACGTGCGTGATGCGATCGGCTGAGGATGAAAAGAGCTGGGGATTGTGACTTGGTGGAGTCTGGGTAGAGCCAGGTTTTGTAACCTGTTTCTTTTGTGGTTAGAAGGCATTGGCGTTCGAAGGTTTTGGCGAGGCCGCGCGCAAATGTAGCGTCGCAAAGAGACAGTGGTGAGACAGTGAGACATTGAAATGCAAAGCAAATTGGCCAAGGCTTTTGGAACCCTTGGTGGCCTTAATCATCATTTCAAACGGTGTGATGGTGGGCTTCCAGTCAGATGAAGAACATTCAACATGGCCTGGCTTGGACTATTTGGAAGTGGGTTTCGCGTTGTTTTTAATCTTGGAAATTTTGTTGCGAATGGCTTTGATGCAAGGAGTGAAAAAAATTTTTTGTGGCCCAGAATGTTGGTGGAACTACTTTGATGTAATTTTGGCGGCAAGTGGGTTGGTCGACATGGCTTTGCATTTAGGGCGTGAAGAAAGTGGAGACGTGTTTGCTACCTCGCTCTTGCGGTTTTGCCGCTTGATTCGATTGGTCCGTATTGTCAAAGTTTTCCGGCTGAAGATCATGAAGGATCTTCGTCTGATGGTGAAAGGCCTCGTTGCAGGTATCAAAACGCTCATCATGGCATTTATACTCTTGTTTACGGTGCTTTACGTCATTGCGGGCTTTGCCACGATGACCATCGGAAACAGCCAGGAAGTCTACGATGCCGATTTGAAACCGTTCTTTCGGACCATACCGGACTCCATGTTCACTTGCTTCCGGTGCTTTACCGGCGAATGTGTGAACCAGGCAGGTGCCCCAATACATGCAATTTTGGCGGACAAAATTGGTTTTGGTTTTGTCTTCGGGTACGTTGCGAGCTTTATGCTGGTGAGTTTGGGCATTTTCAACGTCATTCTGGCCGTGTGGCGCCCAGATGAGCCAGAGAGTTGCGACGGACGACAAAGTAAATTGGAGAAACGAAAAACACTTAATAGATATTAATTTGTTGTAAGGATGTCGTTTCAACTGATACGATCGTCATTGCAGAATTGAGTGCCAGACAAACAAACCATCCAAAGCACTGAACACCCATAGGGGCCAAACTAGGCCAATAACTACCAACATATAGGCTGAGTTGGCTCACAAACGCTAAAGAGGGAGCGGTGTGGAAACGGATGGGGCAGTGCGGAACGGTCCGCTTGCAAGGATACTCGCAGGAATAAAGATGTACGATGCTTAGCCAATTTGACATGGTTTGCGCTGCTCCCCCTGTAGCTGCGCAAAACAAGATTTACAGTTAGCGAAAGGAGCGCCAGCAAATGTTGAAAATTCGAGCCGCCCAAGAGGCAATCCATGGAGCCTAGTCCACACCCATGCCTCACCCCACTGTGTCTCTTTCCGAATTCCAAATGGCCAAAAGGTGTTTGAAAGGGTTTGAAAGGAAAAGATTCCCCAGCCCCAGCCTTAAGAAGGGAATTGAAAGGAAAAGCGTCACCAGCCCCAGCCCCAAGAAGGATTTAAAAAGCAAAAGGATCCCCAGCCACCGACGAAGCCGAGCACCAGAAAAAGCGTAGTGGCTGGACGAAATCGAGCGCCATAAAAGCGTTAGACTTGACGAAGCCCAACGCCAGAAAGGCGCGATACTGGACGAAATCAAGCATCAGCAGGCCTTCGTTCCACCAATCAATTGAAAGGAAAAAGCGCAAATCCAAAACGAAAAGCTTCCCTCCAGAATTAGGGGGTCCGAAAGATTCTCCAGCCCCAGCAGGGGCCCTCATCATTCCTTTTGAAAATCCGCCAGACAAGCGACTTGGAAACGGTGCTGGGGGCAGATGCGTTCCATTTGGACGAAAGTTTTTCACCAGAGAAGCTCATTCTTGTGCTTCCAGTTGTGGTCTGTGTTGCAGGCCCGGGTCTGTGCAAGGTATGTGTTTCAAAAGCTAATGATGTTTGCCATGCAGCATGGTAACACTCACAATATGCAGCGTTACAATGCATTCCGGCGAAACCGGATCCGCCAAGGTTTACGTTGACATCACAATGAAAGCGGCAAAGGAGAATGACCTCACGGTTGAGCAACACTCTCGGGAGTCAATACGCATCGCGCGAATAGCGCGGGAACTTTTGAAAAAATTTGCTGCAGCTTTTAGACTATTCCAGGATATGGATGAAGGCGTTGAAAGAGGCAAGGGCCTAAAGATAGCGCACTCCCACAATTTCATGGATGGTGATATGCTTGAAAGCATCGCAATCACAAAGGAACTTTTCTTGATGGTTATTCAAGATCGTCGAGTTCAAGGGCTCATGGACGAATTGGAACTCCCACCAGACCGTGCCAATCTGTTTGAAATTATCGACGCAGACGGCTCCGGCACGCTGCAGCTTTCAGAACTTGCGCCGAGCTCAAACCATTCTGAGAGTGTTATTTTGCGAAATTAATCTACGGCCCGAAAGGTCTCAACATGCGTTCTTTGCCGAACAATTTTTCTGAACATGTTTTTCGTTCTTTTCATGTGATTTTTTCTGCAGGTGTTTTTGCTTGTGTTTTTGTTTTGGATCTTGCTTCTGCTTTCGCTTTTGCTTCTTCTTCTGCTTCTGCTTTGCTCCCGCCTTTGCTTTGAGCAGGCAAGAAAGGCCCAAAAAACTTCAAAGAAGTGAAGCGCCAAGCCAAACCGAAAGAAACCTAAAGGAAGCGAAACGCTGAGCAACCTCCACAAAACTCTCAAGAAGTTCTGATCTTTGTTGCGTGTTTTTTGCGCTTACTTTATACTTTCCGTATTGTTTTGTTGCTATTCTTGCTCCCCTTTGATGGCTTCTTGCCTTATCCCCTGATCGCTCGGCTCAAGCGGAAGGGATATCGTCCGTGCATGCGCAAATAGAATCTTGTGTGAACGCGTTCAATCGTTGCGGGAAAAGTATGGCAGGGCGCAGGATCAGCGTGCTGTTGGTTTCTAGCCGTCTTGGTTTCTAGCCGTCCTGGTTTCTAGGTTTCCCTGGTTTATGTTGGTTTCCTGCTTTCATGGTTTGCTTGGTTTCCTGGTTTTCCTGCTTTCTGTTGCCTTCTAGGTTTCACGCTTTTTGGGTTTCTTGCGTTTCCGGGGTTCTTGGTTTGCTTGGTTTCTTGGTTTCTCGGGTTGTGTTGTTCTTGGGCTTCCTGACTTTGTTTGTGAGCGCGAGGAGAAAGATAGCCTTTTGTGAGCCACCCGGCGGCAAAATTCAGAGGAGGAAGGAGCTTTTCCAAGGTAGGAAACCTTTTGTGGGACATCCGAAGAAAGCATTTAGAAGACAAGAGTGCCATTCCAACGTCGCAGATTTGTTGCGACACCAATGGCTCATTCCAACGTAGCAGACATTTTGTGAGCCACCGGATCGTAAGATTCGCAGGAGAAAGGCGTGATAAGAAACGTAGCAGACACTTTGCAAGCCACCCGAGGGCAAAATGTAGAGGAGGAGCAAGATGCCATTGAAAGTCTAACTTTTCCTGCGAACCATCAAAGCCTCGGCGTATGTTCATCTCCACGTGTTTCCATGGAGTAGTTTTCAACTAGCAAACAAGGTCTGAAGTCACCTAGTAAAAACCACAGACCCCGCCTCTGAGTAAGGAACTTTGTGTGCCTTTCTCAGACGTGGTTTCTAGTTCTACTGCCTCGACACTGTTTCGTGAAAACAGCCATGGGAAAAGGCCGTCGAAGCAACAGCTGTAGCATGAAGGAAGCTACCGCTCTTGGAACACTACAACTTACCTTTGGTAAGGAGATATATGTGAGGATGTACTCACTGCAATCACCCAATCAAGCTATGTCTGCGACATCCATGAACTGGGTGTACATATTTAGAAACTCGTGTTCCAAACATGTTGAAGTGAAACTCTTGCCACTCTCACTTTCTTCTTTCACTCACTCTTTTCACAAGGCCTTAAGCCTCTTAGCAAAGTCACTCTCCATTCTCGCAAGGCCACAGGCCTCATAGCAAAAATCACTTGCTTTTCTCTCAAGGCTACCAGCCTTATAGCAAAGATCACGGCGTGTACATCAAAGCATCATCGTCACTCGAATCTGGCTCATCTCCTGGAAGAGCTCTAGCTCGTCGACTTGCCATCAAAAGTCGTTCCTCCAACCAATGCTCTGGTACACCATTCGAAGAACTAGGTGCAGCAGCTGAAGTTGAAGGAAAACGTCTTCTCAAACTTGCCTGATTCTCAGCATCCTCTTCATCGGCTTCTGACACAGGATCGATTGCATCTGTATCATCAGCAACACCACGTACTGAGGATCGAGGAATAGTTGAAATCTCTCTTTGTGATCCAGCAACTGGGTTTGTGAAAGAAAGCAAAGTTTGTCCACGTAGCTCGAAGTAGCTCTCACCGGGTTGAGCCAAATGAGAAAATCCTTCGCAGAAGCATCGATAGCGATCTCGATGTCCACCATCAAAAGCTCCTTGCAATGTCACCCACATCACACCTGGCGCTTCAGGCATGATCTCTGTAGCATCACTCAAAGTGGGAAAAGCTGGATAGTTTTCACGCACAAATCGATCAGGATCTTCAGATTGTGAGATAGTACTTCCCACTCCATCATCAGATTCACTGTTGTGTCCTCTGAGAGCGTCTTGCATTTGCAAAGCCAATTCAACGTGTCGGGTCAATTCCGGCTCTGAAAAGAATTCCCCTTCTGTCTGCACATAGTTATCTTTCGTGATCACATCTTTTGCTCCAAAGAAAAGTCCACACATCCAGGAACTCACAGCTCTGCAATTCACACATAGCCATATTCCAAAAAGGATGCACATGAAGCTCACGATGAAAGAAAACACATGCGCTGGGCTCAAGGCTTCGAACGATTCACATCCCTGAAGGCACATTGCTACAAGGCTAAGTGCAATCATGCGCTTTCTCGGCTTGTGGCGATCCTTCTGCACTCGCATCACTCCAAGCAGCACAAACAAGGAAATCGCACAAACCAGGGCAGGAAAGCTCTCATCGATCAAATGATTTGAACTGGGCTCAAATTCAAATCCACAAGCGAAGTGAAAGGCTGAGCTCAACACCATGATCCTCATGACCTTCTTGGCCATGCTCATTGCTGGTGTGCTAGTGGTTCGAACACCTGGACCGTACATGTCCTGATACTCGTCAGATTCACAAATCACTCTCGAAATGTCTTTCAACTGCTGTTTGACTGCAAGTTGCGCATTCTTTCGAAGGAATGCTGATTCACCAACTCGCTCTTTTCCACAAACATAACCAAGCATATACAGAAGTGAGAGATGTCGATCTCGTGCATGAGTCTTAGTATTCAAATCTGCTATGTTGGCATGTGTGTTCACATAACGAATCTCAATCTCACGCTGAGACACTTTCTGCTGAAGCCAAAGCAGTCGTCCCTTGATGTGCTTGAGACGACTCACACCCAACTTTTGAGAAAGCATTCTCACGGCAGAATTGTCCACATGACAAATCAAAGCATCTACGGGACACAAAAACTCTAGGATGTGCTTCAAACAGAGTGCATCACTGGTTGCTGACGAAAGGGCATACCATTCACTTTCAGTACTGCTCAAACTGATGCACTTTTGTGATCTGGATGAGGAAAACATCACTTGACCGTGGATGCAATGAATGGCTGAAGAAGTTGATTTCATGTCACCCGTTGAACTCCAATCAGCATCTGAAAACACTTCTATGCAAATGCTTTCTTTGACATCCGGGTTGATCTCGTGGTACTTCTCCATGAACTGTTGTCCACAAACAGTTGGCCACATGCAAAGACACATGTCTTCAGTGCCTTTGACATAACCCACCAGACGTTCCAGTGCTTTCCATGCTCCTTGTGTGGGCTCCTTCAGATAGCTTGCTAGGCTTTTGACACTGTGTTGTAGATCGTATCGTTCTTGGCTCAAATACATTGCTAGACCTACGAGCGATCTAAAGTCAGCAGCCCGATCGGCGTCAAGCAAGGTGTTGTCAAGGTGTGGCGCACATGCTGCTGAGGAAGGTGTTTTGGAGATTCGTGGTGGTCGTCCATTGATTTCGCTCAAGCGTTCAAAGAGTGCGCGTGCATGTTTGCGCTCAGGAAAAATCTTCAAACTTGCATATCCTGGTTCTAACACATGCAGACGTTTCAAGAACTCAAAACTTCCACCATCTCGCCTTGGCACATATTGGCAGCTCATCTTGAACTCGCTCTTCAAGGCAGGAATCATCACTGAGGATATCCACTGCTCATTGCCATAAAAGAGAACATCGTCAACGTGCAAAAGAAGAACTGCGTTGTTGCCACATTTCACCAACGCAGGTTGCTCTAAACAGACTGTTGCACCAAGCAAACGCTTCAAAGCATCGGTGAAAAACAAGTACCACAACTTGGCAGCATCCCGTTGTCCGGGAAGGCACTTGAGGATGACAAAGGACAGCTCTGTTCCTTGCACTCGAACAATTCTGGGTTTAAGTTGTGGGACCTGCAAATATGCATCTGTGATGTCCAATGAACCAAGACATCCACCTGGCACAAACGAATTGCTCATGGCCATACATGGTAGTAGCTTCACTACGTTGGTTGTTGAAGACGGTGAATAGACATCAGTCCTATACTCCATGAAGTTGAACTCACGTGCGCAAAGTCGTGATCTCCTGAGATACATAGGAACTCCGTCCAGCATCTTTTTCCTCCAAGTTCGCACAAATTTCGCACTGAGACTGGTGTCTAGCTCTCCTGAAAATCCGTCTGAATCCTGCAATACATTCATGTTTTTCAATCTCTGCACTTCAACTCTGTCTGCAATCTCATCCAGGTATGCCATCTGCTGTTCACTGAGCTGAGGTTCTGACTCCGTAAAGGGATACCACAATTCAGATGAATCCACTTCCCATTTCTCTTCTGAGCTGCTGCTCTCCTGGAAATGTTGAGCATACACATCGTAGTTCTCCTGATCAAAGTTGCTTGAACCAATCACCTCCAAGTCATCGGAATCCAACAAAGAAGAGTTCATAAAAGGTTCAAACAGCTCTTCATCTTCATGGGGAAGATCCTCCTCTGCTCGGCGACTTCTCAACCGCTTTGCATCCGGCTCCTCCAACAAATCAGGTATTTGATGAGTGGATGCACCTGACATTTCTGCGTCCACAGGTTCCAAATTCGGTGTGAAAGCTGCAGGAAGCAATGGTCTACTAGGTGCAGGACTCACTGGTTGATTTGCCAAAGGATCAAGCTCCTCAGGATCCTTCTGTTGCTTGTCTTTCAATTCCCCAAGTTGTTCACCTATTTTGGGAGGTGTCATGAGGAGATTCTCAGGTTCTTCCGGGTCAGAGTCTGGATCTGTTGCGGCCTCATCTGCAAGCAATGCTGTAGGAGGTCCACTCTTGTTTCTGATTGGTTTGGTAAGTTCCATACGAGCTCCAAATGTTCCTTCCATCTGCCAG